AAAGTAGTCTTTGGAAAAGACAGTAATGCTGGGAAAAATAGAGGTCAGCTGGAAAAGAGGAAAACCAGTGAGCTAGATTGACCATAAAGTAAGCCATAGGCATGAGTCTGCAGGAGCTGAGTAGGGCTGTTGAGGACAGGACATTATGGACATCACTCATTCATAGGGTCACCTGGAGTCAGAGCCTACTCAATGGCATATGACACACACAAGGAAATATATAAATTGTGGGATATTCATACAGGGACACTAAATGGTAGTTAAAAGTCGCTAAATCTGTGTGCATCTACTTGGCTATATTTCAAAACCATGAGTGAAATAAGTTATAGAATGTCAGTGTGACATTTCTAAACACAAAATAATACATTTGCATTTCTAAGATTCCTTCTAATTCTGAAATTATTTTCTCGAATTTCACAGCAATAAGCTATGCTCCTATGACTGTATGCATCTGAGTGTGAAGAGCTGTGCCCAGAAACAGTATACTTCTGGAAAGTGGCTGTCATTAAGAGCAGTCACTGTCCTGAAGAATTAGCACTCCTGGAAGAGCAGAAAGCTGTGTTCCTCTGAACAAGTAATCTGTAGAATTAAATATTTTGTAACTACTCACAGTGTGCTCAATACTATATAATAAGCATATACGCAAAAATGTCTCTTTTTCTCCCGAGTTGCTTAAAACGAAACAGATGTGGGATAAAGAGGTGCAGGTATATCCCGTGAGGAGAAAATGAGAGCTGTCTGGAGGAAGATGTTTGCTAAGTAATAACTTTCTGCTAGGACCTGTGCAGGCCGGAGTCTGAGTTCTGTAAATTACTAGACGTTGAAATCACAGATGCCCTTAGATGTTGATTCTGTGTATATTTATTGAGAACCTACTACGTACGGTGTACTCTACTTAACACGGTCATGAACACGGAGGTGAGCCGGGAGTCCCACGCGGCTTCTAGACCAGTGGCAGATGGAGGCAGCTATAAAATGGGGCAGCATGATACGTTAAGGGCCCTGAGAGGGACTCGTTGCTTTACAGCTTGCAAGGAGGAAGGAATTCTGTCTCAGGAGGGACGCAGAATGGCTGTGCAGGGTGGTCTCGCACTGTGAGTCGCACATTTCTGTTTGGGTGACAGAGAGGAGGGAAGGTGTCTGCTGCGCCGTTGCTCTGCTAGTCTTTGACCCTCTCCCTACTCCCCTCCTTTCTTAAGAGAAACATTGCTGTACATTAAACTTTTTGAAGACATTAATGCTGTTGTTGAGACAATCATTTAAGCATTTAAAATAGACACCACATTTTAGAGGCAGCAGTGGTTAGCCACTGGAAACCAACCGTGGGGTTTGATAAAGGGGGGACTTTTATACGTTATGGTTTATGACAGAGAGTGGAAAAATGCTTCAGGGAGACGGGCTGGCATTCCAAACCGGAGCGCCGGGACAGCAAAAAGTGCTGAAGTCAACAGACAGCTTAGAAATATGGTTACTATTGGATGAGAGAGGCTCTCCAGAGTGGCCATATACACGCGTTTGCAACCACAGGCAGTTCAGTGCTTCTCTAAACCTGGGACTGTGACCCTGCCTGATGCCAGCCAGAGTTATGTACTCGCAGAAAAAGGAGACAGTCAATGCATGAATCCAAGGCAAGTGCAAAATAGGTGTGATAAGCAGCAAGTTACAGTGGACTTACACCTTATGCATAACTTAGGTTGGAACCATGCAGAGGTGATGCTGGTCTTCTGGATCTTCTGGGGCTGGCTTAAAAATTCCCCTGTTGCCCCAAAGCAGTTTCAATACAAATTGATTCTAGTCCATACAACTTAAAGAAGACCAAAAAAACGTAGAGTGGAGATATGGAAGAGTCTTAAGAGGTGACATTTGACTTATGACTTGGACAATATGAAGGAAATGGCCATGAGAGCTGGAGATGAGAATTCCAAGGGAAAGAAAAGCATCGGCAAGTGGAGAAGCATCCAGGATGGGTGACCTTGTGCAGACTGCTTTCCCTCCCTGGGCCTCATTGTCTTCATTTGTAGAACTAAAAATTGTCCTGAGTGAGCCCTAGGGAATCTTCAGTCCCAAAGTTCAGTGAAATAAACCCTAGTTAAAATGAGCAACAGGGCCAAATATAGCTTTTTATAGTTTTTTTCCAGTTTTATTGAAATATAATTGACATATAACATTGTATTAGAGTAAGGAGTACAACGTAATGCTTTTGTATATAGATACTGCAATGTGTGCTTTTAGGGAGGGTGGCAGTGGGAGTGGGATGGAGATAAGGAAAGGCACAAATGTTGGCAAGAGAAAAATGCCAAATGAAACAAGATTCCAAATTAGTGGGAGGGGGTGATGGTGGGGGAACGCTTCTTTCCCATATCTGATGTTTCCTTCCTTGTTTTCTTCTTAATTCCTGTAACATTCCTGGTCGTTTCGCCCGCACGGAGGTGGAGTGACTTGTTCTGGGAAGTTTGGGAAGGAGAAATGGGGTGCACCCACTGAGCTCAGCTCCTTCGTTTGCTTTTGGCATCAGTCCTGACCACAGAGGGCTGCTCTCCTCATTTCTCCACGCCCTGCCTTACCGAGACCTTACAAAACCCCCTCCAGGGGCTTTGACCTGAGCCAGCGCTGCCCAGGACCCTCCGGGGAGAACTATCAAATGCGGGGACTTGGTTTGCAGGCACCTTTGGCTCCCACGCTCAGCCATGTTCTTCAGTTTGGCCTTCATCAGTAAAAGTGCTGATTTTTTGGTCTCCTCTGCATAGTCTCCTCTGGTTTCTCAGTATGTTTAGAATTCGGATGGGCAGGAAGAGCGCTGTTTACTTGGCCCTGTCATACCCAGAAGCTGGGATGCGGGGAAAAGGGACGGCTCTGGTGTCCTCTGAGTCGGAGAAGGCGGTGGTTGTGCGGAACTAGAGGTCTCTGAGGCGTGATGGAGCTTCAGAGGTTCAGAATCACCTGCCAAGTAGGAGGCCAAATAGTTACCTGCGAATGATTCAGCAGGCACGGAATTGGAAAATTAGAAGAAGAAAAGATTTAGAATTGCATCTGTGCAGGGGGTTCAAGAATCCGCTGAAGAGGGCCAGAGCAGTGCCAGCGAGGGTGACGGTCAGGGTGTGCGAACCTGGCGCAGGCGGGAACCGAAGGCAGGCTCGTCCTTTCCCGCCAGGGACCAGGAGGTGAAAACTGCTCTATGGAATATATTTATTCTTAAGTTATAGTAATTTTCAGAAGTAAATGAAGGAATCTATTAGGGTTGGACAAAGAATGGTTATATCAATACTGTTACAAATGCTAAACTATACTTTTTAAAATATGATAGTTTAGACAGCCACTAAGTTAACCCTTAACTCAGTTGATTCAGATTTTCCGTGTGTGTGTGTGTGTGTGTGTGTGTGTGTGTGTGTGTATTCAGGATTTTTTTTTCATTAAACATTTTTTAAAGAGCCCAGTCAACAAATACTGCATGGTAGCAGCCCCAAATACCAACAGGATGAATATTTTTAACATCCATTGTTTTTCATTACACAGATATGGCCAGTGGCTTTATTTAAGGTTATTATTCTTTGCATGACAAGTTCAATTGCTCTCATGCAGAAAAGAAAAATACCCTGGCTTATTTCCTTTGCCTATTGGCTTTTCTAGGACCAAGGGAAGTACCAACTTCTCCATGAAGTAATCTCAAAATTTTCTTTACATCCCTGATTTCTCTCAATTTCTACTGCTCTTAAAAGTCAGGGTGTATGTTAACAAGTACAGTTTGGTGAGGAGAGGGGTAGTAGAGAGTAGGGTAGGATTTTGGAAGGTGATTGCATGTGAACTGGGTGTGGAGGGAGAATAGAATTTGGCAGGTGCATATGGGAGGTGGAAGCCAGGAGCGCTCCAGTCATGGCACATTGCTTAGTCCAGAGAGCAAGGAGGTGTGGTGTCAGGTCTTACTCAGGGAGCGCTCTATTGAGCAGGCCGTTGGCTAGAGGACAGGATGCAAAGGGAGTGTGGTCTCCGTGTACAGGAAAATAGCATGAAAACAGGTTGTGCAAGGTTGCAGGAAGCCAGATTTTTTTTTAGGCTGGACAGCATTTTGATGAGGGAATAGCCTGTGGAGAGGTAGAAAATGACAATTCAAAGGAATTGATTGCTGGAATGAGATCCTAAAAGGAAGGGAAATAAGGGACAAGTAGACATGCTGAAGGCCGGAAGGGAAGCGAGAAGAAGTTAAACAATGACAAGGCAGGGCTCAATTTTGCTTGAAAAGTCAAGCAAGTAGTTTTTGTAGTTGATAAAAAATACCTCCTGATATTTATAAATACAAAAGTTATTTTAAATATATCTACTCTGCTAGAGTTTTTATTTCTTTTCCATTTTCGGTAAAAGAATAATAATAAAGAAATAGCACATGCTGAAAGACATTAGGTACACAATAGGGACTGAAAAAATTTCAAATAATTTTTCTTTTAGCTGGATTGCTATTATAAAATAAGAATACATTTTGATTCAGAACTTTTATGAAGAACTTGGGCATTTTATTACAACATCTGTTTCTACATTTTAATTTCTCTCCTTCCTTTTTTATAGGTATTTGCGTACTTTTTTTTCAAATGAGAAGACCTTTTTGTTTGCCACAAGAAGGCTATTATCCAGAATGTTAATGGGTTTTCAGCTATTAAGATGTAATGATATACCTTGAGTATTTAACTATAAATTTGAAAACTCTCCATGAACAATCTCTGAGGAATACTTAGACTGCAGTCCTGGTAAATTGGCTCGTTTTCCTGTAATTTACTGGAAGTGCTGATATGAGAGCAGTCCTAATGTGAAAAGTACATTAATCCCTGGAGTTGCATTGTATGTATTAAATTATTACTCTCAAAGAATAAAGTGTCTGAGGCCATTTAGCCTTCATTCACATTTGTTACTTAGAATCACAGCAGAGAAACTGTCACTTATCTTTTGATGCGCAAAATTAGAAATGATACATTTAATATATTTTAAAACAAGAGGTATAGTGATGTTCAGTTATGCTTTTGCATAACAATTGCTCTTTTCCAAAACAAGGGCTGTTCTAGTTAGGAGCAGGATTCTTCTGGCTTTGTGGAGGCCCCTTCCATTCCACTGGTAATGGAAATATTTTTAGAAACAGTAATGCAGCTTTCTTTGATGCCAGTCACAAAGATTAGTCTGCCTTCTTGCCCTGAGCTTCTACCACATTGGGGGATCATTTAAGAAGGTAGTCAACTTGCAGAAGCAGTGGCTGCTGGAGCATTTAGGGTCTTGGAATTTTGTCTAATTGTGTTTGTTTGTTTTTTTCTTTGCCAGGGGACTGAAAGTTGTGGAACCATAATTTGTGACATCAGGGTGTGTGTGTTTTTGACAGACAGCCATTTATGATTCCGAATGATTAAGGCAGATAGGAAGCCCCTTCTGAGAGTTTAACAAAGCTCTCAGCAACCTACACCATGGACATAAAGCTGGACCCTTCTCGAGATGACCTGCCTCTCATGGCCAACACCAGCCACATACTTGTGAAGCACTATGTACTGGATTTAGATGTGGATTTCGAAAGTCAAATCATTGAGGGCACCTTAGTACTTTTCTTTGAGTCTGGAAACAGATACAGGAAAAAGAGTGGTTCCACTGAGGAAACCTGCCAATCAGAGTCAAATGAAGCCTGCAAATTTAGGACGCCGGAACCCTGCCTTGTTCCTGTGACAAATACAAGGACCTTCTCATCTAAAATGGGATACAGTGATTTTGCAATCTGTGATGAAGGTGAAAGAGATACTTCTGGTAAAGATGGTAACCATGACGACCAGGAACAGGCTTCTGGGATTTCTAGCTGGAAGCAGTGCTGTGACACAGGGAATCATGGGAGCGAGGATTTCTTGCTGGTGTTGGACTGCTGTGATTTATCTGTGTTAAAGGTTGAGGAGGTGGATGTTGCTGCTGTGCCAGGTATTGAAAAATTTACAAGGTCTCCCAAGCTCACGGTTGTTTCTGAGCTCAGGAATCAGATTGTACGTGAACTTGTGACTCTGCCTGCGGATCGGTGGAGGGAGCAGTTAGACTATTACGCTCGCTGCAGCCAGGCTCCTGGCTGTGGGGAACTCCTGTTTGACATTGACACTTGGAGCTTACAGATCAGGAAGACAGGGGCTCAGACAGCTACTGACTTTCCTCACGCCATAAGGATATGGTACAGAACCAAACCCCAGGGGCGATCAGTTACATGGACCTCAGACCAGAGTGGCAGGTAGGTATCGGGTACCCGCAGCCCCTATCTGTTGATCTCACACACTGGGAGGTGAGCCTTTGCAGGAACGCTCTCAGGCAGGGGACCAACTCTGCAAAGGTGCACCTCTTTATTCTGTGGCCATCACCTATCCAGCCTCAAATCCTTAGAGCCACAGTGAAGCAGGTAAATTCCCAAGCATGCTCAACTCTTAATAGGATTACTCCCCTTAAGTCAGGATGAAAAGATTACTTTATTAAGCCCCTTGTATTTCTGTTAAGAGATTGAAAGGCAAGCCTGATGATTAAATCCCGAGCCTCGTTCTCTGTTAGGATCTCTGCAGCAACTTCCCCTGCTGTGGATGGGAGCGGTCTGTGTCTCTGAGTAGACTTTCTCAGAGTTCCCTCTCATTCCCCTGAGGGAGCAGGCTGCTGCCAAGTTGGGTCCGTGTGAATGCTTCCAAATAAAGCCAGCTCTGCTTTGTGACTTGCTTACTGTACCTGTCTCTTGGCAGCTCTGCCTCTCTGGACTTTGTCAGTCATCATATAATGTGAACCTCCCAAGCCTTCAGATGGTCTGTTTGTGAGGGGTGACAGTCCTGCTGACAGTGCAGACTTACTCTGCTCATGATTCTTCATATTCGACAGCAGGGAGACTCCTGGTTTTTAGTGTGGGGAGAAGGAACTGATAGGCATTGATTTCCAGGGGATGTATTTCAGGAGCCTTTTGTTCTGTCCTTCTTGCCACTCCTCCAACAGTTGTTCAGGAATTTTAGAATTTGAGAATTTTTAAATGAAACTTTATAGAGCCCTCATTATTTTAACTGTTTCTTTGTGCTGATGTACTAGAAATCAGTATGGTAGTTACTGCAGAGCTAGGCTGGAGGAGTGGTGGTCTCTGCCAGCTTGCCTAAGCGCCTTCTGACATTGGACCCCCTTAGTGGAAACAGTAGTTTCGCTAAACTGCTTATATCTCTCCCCAACCCACCCCCCAAAAAACCTTTTACCTTTTTTTAAAGCATCAGTTTGACTTTGAGCCCTAATTACCCCATTCCTTGCCTCTAATCTTACCCCCTGCTCTGGTCTCTTGCCCCACTTGGAATGCGTTCACTTCCTGCCTTATTTCTGCAGGAGTCTCAGGCAGCCTTTGGGAAATTGCAAGCTTGATACAAACTTACATCAGTACAAAGCATAGTGATTTATTTGTAGAATAACATTGGATATTCTTGGGAGACCATGAGGGGAAAGAAACAGGTGTTCTTATTGTAACTTCAAAGTTTTTTTTGAAATTATTAAAGATGGGGTTTTCATAAGATTTAACTATACTATCTCTGAATACTTAACTAGGAAATGACAGTTTTTATATTCATAGATATTTAACTTTTGAACTGAATAATGGGGAAGGAGAAACTATTGACAGTATTTGGAAGAAATACCCGTTAATGGCCTCAAACATGTCTGTCTGCTCAGTGCTCACTGCAGAGAAAGAGAGTAGACTTGTGAATTGCATTACGTATAGTTGAGTAGGAATGCATAACTCCTGGTTTCCATAAACTAAAGAGGTCCTTGGGCACAATTTGCTCCTGCAGAGGCTGACTTTGTGAATTGATTCTTGATAAATTCTGATAATTTAATAAAATGCATGGTCACAGCAGGAGTTTAAACTGTATCCTTGGAAGTTTGTGATTACACGTGAGTGCAGAAATGGCATTTATGCAGTTGTACAGGGATAATAAATGTGTGGTGTTTTTTAATCCTCAAAAGATGTTTTTTTTCTCCCCCCCTTTTTTGGGGAGGGGAGGGATTTTATTTAAGATTATCTTCTGTGAACAGCCACCAGATCTTTGTAAATTCTCCCATGTGCTTAAGAATAAGCCTAGGTATATACTGGTAACTGTTTGGATACTTTAAGGACTTTAAAATGCCCAAGGATCCCAAATTGATTGACAGAAATAATTCCTTAGTGATATGAGTGAATAGTAATTATCAGGGTTGCAATGCTTTATATGGGTATAATTGGGTGAAAATATAAAATATCACAATTATGTGAAAAATATAACTGGGTAGAGCTTATTTCCTCTAATTAAAACTTAAATAGTTATTACATTTTTACCCTTGAATGCAGAATACTATCAGTATACCTACCATAAATTCTTAGTCCTGGATGAGGAACTTTTTATTCTCATTTTACAAGTAGGAAAATTGAATAAAATTACTGGAAGCTCCTAGAAGAAGCCATGTCTAATTGTGAAAAAGAGCTACATTTCTTACACATTTAATCTTTACCATGTTCCTGACTGTATACAAAGATTTCGACATTTAAAAAAATAAATGAATTATGTTAGCTTTCAATAAATTTCTCTTTTAAATCTATATTAGTCAGAAACTTAAGTAACCTCTAAATTGGTTCCTTTCCTTTAAGTTCCATCACTGGCTTCTTCCCTTCCTACCTTACCACACCCCTTGTCCAGAATAACACTCATGTTGGTTTATTCTACATAAGTGAGAAATCATTTAGGAGGTCAGAGGAGCCCAGGGTGGAATATAAAATGTGACAAAATGATCTAATGATATTAAAATGTGTGAAACAACCTCACTGAAGTGGGTAGGGGAAAGGATGCTGACCTAAATAACTTTGGAAATGTGGAGTCTGTAAAGCTAAAGGCAAAGGAAACTGTACACAATATCACAGTTGACAAAGTTGTTTCCCATGAGTATATAGGTTATATTTTGGTATCACTATACATGTATGCTGGAATTGAACAACTGAGTAAGTGAATGGCAGATGGTGGGAGCCAGCTTTCTCACTGTCGAAGTTCAAGGTTTTAGATGAGCAAAGGGAAGACGCTAGAAAAATGCATGTGGAAATGGATTAGAACTGGAGACATCACTATGGACTCACATTTAGCTTAATATAGATATGGATGGTTGGACACAGAAATAAGTATAGAGATGGTGTTTCCAAGGGTTAGCATACACACATATATTTCCTTGCTTGTCAGCCGAAAGGGTTTTAGAAGCAGGAGCACACCGAGAGCCTGGATCTTGGTTTCTAATACCATTCTCCAATAAAGGAACCAGGGCTTTTTGGAGAAATAGCTAGGACTAGGGCGAGAAATATACAAGATGAGCCTGGAGCATCTTGTTAGTGCCAGAAAATAAGGAAATGCTCAAACAACATCTACAACCTGCAACTGTGGGTGTATGTCAAAGGTTCAGGGAGCCATGTGAAAGAGCTCCTAATGGCCAAAGCTGAACAACAAAATAAAGAAAATAGCTTTGGATGGTAACACAAAGTATAAAATAAACATCTGAGTCCATTCTGATATATATAAGTGACTGACTGAATAAACAGAAGGAGGGGAATGGGACAAATCCCTGGTGCAGAAGTCTAAGTTATGGGGGCACCCTGTCCTCAGGAAGTGGAGCATACCTCCTCTCTCCTTAAGTGTGGCCTACACACAGTGACTTCCTTCCCAAGAGGACAGTATGGAAAGGGGGTGTGTAGTTTTACATTGGAGAAACCTCACAGACAGGACCTCATTGAGGGGGGCAAGGTTAACATCAACAGCGATAGGTCATGTTAATAGTGTGTATCCTTAGTATGATGTGATGAGAATGACAGACATCTTTGTGACCTTCCTCCCTCAAAGCCACACCCCAGTCTAACCAAGACAGAAACATCAGATAAATCCCAACTAAGGGACATTCAACAAAATACCTTACCAGTACTCCTCAGAACTCAAAGTCAACATTAAGAAAGCCTTAAGAAACCCAGCACCTAAGGAGATACAATGATTAAAGGTAATGTAGGATCCTGGAACAGAAAAAGGACATTAAAGAAAAACTAAGGAAATCTGAGTAAAATTTGGACTTTCCCTAATAATAATGAGTCAATATTTGTTCATCAACTGTGACAAATGTAACATACTATTATAAGATATTAATAATAGGGAAAACTGGGTATGGAGTATATGGGAGCTCTCTATATTTTTGCACTTAAAAAAATCTAAAACTGTTCCAAAATAAAAAGTTTATTAACAAAATAAACCTCAAATTTGGAAAGAAGTTACCGTCTTTCTACCCTAAAACCCCTCTTCTCTGAGGGCTGTCCTCCCATTTTTACCAAGTGGCAGTGTTCTCTGGTGAACTGAAAGTACATTTGAAGCTATGAAAGTGTATTCCTTCCAATTATTGTCAGTAACCTCTTCTTTCCCATTATTATTCTAGTTCTAAAATAAAATATCTGGAAATAAGTATAAAAACTACATTTTCCTGCCTTGGTTTAGCCATTGTGGGGTTGTGGCAGCTCTTGAACTGAAATGCTCTTTCTTCCCTCCATCATTTAGATACGAATTTTAGCTGACATTTAAAAATGACTGATAAAGCAAACACATATATGATAATCTGATACAGCTTGGTTCTTGGAAACAATGTTTACTTTGTGTGGTGTGTTCCTGTCCTTTAAAAATATTCTGAAGAACTATTTGAGAACAGGGCCAAGGTCAAGAGTATGTAAAGATGTTCTTGCTTAAGTTAGAAAGGGACTTCATATCTCTTTGATTCTGTGTTCTTAACAGACCTGAGAAAACAGCTTTCAAAAATGGCAGTCTTTATTCAAAGTTTATGTACTTTCTGCATGTTCCCATATTTTTCCCATTCCAGTGAATGAAATGTTAGTTAAAACCAAAGCATTCTCTCTGGTAACCCGTTCCCTTAGCGTCATTAAAATAGTTGTGGAACCAGCCAAGTGGTCTAGGAGATCTGGGCTTAAGCTGATGATATCACTGGACATGAGTTGAGTGGAGGAGAAATTTGGTTAAATATAGCAAATTTATTTTTAAAGCTACAACTATTTGGATCATTGTTAAAGATAAAGAAACTGATTAGGAAAATAATTATAATTTAAAGTAATATTAAAATTTAAAATTTTCTAAATCACTATGATGTTTCTTTGTTTTAGACAAGACCAGTATAAAGTTGGCAAAATACAAAAGAGAGCAATTTTTTCTATTATATTTA